CCCGTGGTCAGTTTCCAACACAGGCATTACTTTGTGTTAGGGCTATTCATATGGGGTTTAGGGCCGGCGTATGTGCCCTATTGGTTGTGGTCGGAGTCGTTGTGGTGCTCGTGGTTTGTGGCAGTTATGCTCCGCTACTGTATATCATTGCACACAAGTTTCCTCATTAATAGTGCCGCTCATATGTATGGCATGAAGGTATGGATGCATTTTAAACTACTTATTGTTATTTATATTTTTACCATGTGCCTCATTAACAAATATATAATTGAATGGCAATTTTTATTTTAAATTTTAAAACATTGTTATGTCTCGATTTTTATACAATTAACTACAATTATACAATTTTATTCAACTAGCGAGTAATATAAAATAAATCTAGATTGAATTAATTGTTATCAAATTCTCTCTCAAAATACTAACTGTAATAAAGTAATGAATAATTTTATAATGTTTATTAACTAACTAATGTCAAGTAATTTTGGAGATCTACGTTTGGTATATTTCACATAGTTAAATTTTTAAAACATGGTCAATTTGTTACTTATTTACAAAAGATTTATTTTTATTTATGCTAGTGTTTAGAAAAAAATTATTTACATGTATAAAATTCATAACAAAAATTGTCAGTTATCATATTTTAATTTTATTACTTATGCTTGTTTTATTATTTACTATTTTATATAAATAGTACATGAAGTTAATCAGAAGGGCGTAAGTAGTGAGACAACTAAACGTGATAACTTACTATTTAAATATTTAAATTTTTATTATTGTCATTACATAACTTTATTTCAAGTATGCTATTTTTAGTTCACATTGTAAATAATTGCTATGTGGCTATTAAATAGTTTTTATTATATAAAATAGATCCAGGTAGAATTAATAGTTTTACTTACTCATCAAAAATACTGACTGTAATTAAGTAATTAAACGTATTTTGTAATGTTTATAGTTTTATTAATGTCAAATAATTTTGGTGAAATAAGTACGCGTTAACATATCTCACACAATTAATATATTTTATAATAATTTCCCTCGATAATTTATTTTATATTAATGTATAAAATGAATAACAAAAATAGTCAGTTATCATATTTTAATTTTATTACTTATGCCTTTTTTTTTATTATTTACCACTCTATAAAAATATTACATGTATTGAAACCAAAGGGCGTAAGTAGTGAGACAACTAAACGTGATAACTTACTATTTAAATATTTTATATTTTTGTTATTGTTTCTAAATAACTTTATTAACTTTACAAGTATGCTATTTATAATGTAAGACAAATATGTATTTGAATGGTCATTTTTAGTTTACATTATAAATAATTGTTTTGTAGCTATTTTATATAATTTTTAAACGAGTTTTTATTATATAAAATAAATCCAGGTAGAATTAATAATTCTTATTTACTTACCAAAATTACTGACTGTAATTAAGTAATCAAGCTCATTTTATAATGTTCATAGTTTTAGTAATGTAAAATAATTTTGGTAAAATAAGTACGCATTAACATATCTCACATAGTTAATATTTTATAACTATTAACCTTGACAATTTATTTTATATTTAACATAATTTTATAGTTTATTAATTTATTAGAATTTTTGGCTATTAAAATGTCATACATGTATAAATGCATAACATAAATAGTCAGTAATTATTTTAATTTAATTACTTGTGCCCTTTTTATTATCCATGGTTATATAATAATAGCACAAGTATTTAATCAGAAGGGCGTAAGTAATTAGACTATTAAACGTAATAACTTAAATATTTTATAGTTTGTTATTGTTTTTACATAACTTTATTGCAAGTATGCCATTTATAATGATCTATTATATACATTAAATTAACAAATATTAAATTTAATACATGTATATTTCAATTAAGCCGTACGACAACACACTAATACCGGTTGAGGCAAATGTGCGACACTTTCTGGTGGGCGAAGGCTTTCATAACTATCACCACTCGTTTCCACAGTATTTATATATTTATAATGAATTAAAATTATTACAAATATTTAGTTAAATTACAATTAATTAAATGTCTATTTTAGGGATTACTCGGCCTCAGAGTTGGGTGCGATCGACTCATTCAACCCGCAGACGGCATTCATAGACATGTTTGCGGCCATCGGTTGGGCCTATGATCTCAAAAAGCCGTCCATCGATGCGGTGAAGAACCGTCGGATCAGATGCGGTGATAATAGTAACCAGATATCCAGATCCCGACTGTCGGAGCAAATCGTTGGTCTATTGACCGTATTTATGCCCTTTTGGGTCATAACTATACTCCGGATGAATGCGTTTGTATGGCCTGTAATACCAATGGGTTTATATCTGATTACATGCCATCCGCACGGCTTTAACACTAATAAAGTGATTAAAGTTTGTGATAATAATAATGGGAATAAATTACATAAAACATAATTGCTATTAATTAATTGTAAGCATTATTTGTAATAATTTATTGCAATAAATCAATGTTTTTAAAATAGATTTAGTTTTTAATATTTATTTTAAATTCTAATTATGCTAGCGTATTCTTCCGCTTTTAAGTCCATGGGCTATTATGTCAAAATCGAGTATATTTACAATATTATATGATCTATTTGACTTTATTAAAATGGTTTATGCTAAAATCAGGGCCTAACTTTATTTATATTATATTTGTATTGATTATTCATATCACAAGTAAAGGATATTTATTTAATAGGTGTAACATTAATAATCTAGAAACTTTATTAAATAAATCAATTAGAGTCTTGTAAAAAAGAACGATGCAAACTATACATAATTTACTATACCGAAAATAATTTAATTGTTGATTGTACATATGTTTTTGTCAGGGCCATAATTACTTTGGGTCTGGGATTAAATTAAAATTACTTGTTTAATTTCATAATCAAAAAGTGAGGGAGAGAGGTAATAAAACGGTTTTAATTAATGTGAAATATTACAAACAAGATTGGCAGTTAGTGCAAATTTGCACATTGTCCTTTTTGAACATAATTAAAATATCTAATCGATCTCAATCAAAATATTAAATTTGTAATGTTTACTAAATAGGTGTAACATTAACTATGCTGTGCTAAATAATATTATTATATGATATTTTATATGAAATTAGTTATTCAAAATTTGTGAACTTGATCTACAACATTATATTGTTGTATATTTTTAAGCAAGCAAAAAAATTATTTCCCATTGTAACACAGTTTGTATGAGTACAATATATTTTTATTGTAAAATAAAATGAATATTTTATTAGAAATTTACGAAAGATTATCCAAAATATCTCTCAGGACATATCTTTTGTCGGTATCACTATTGTCTGGATTTCTATACCAAACCTATGAAATCAGTTTAATATACTTCTCATATCAAACCACAGCAGATGTAAAGTTTGATTCGGACACTCCTTATAGACGACTTCCTGAAATTACTGTATGCGCTCAAATCGATGACTTAGTACCACCACATTTATCACATGAATATTTAACGCTAAACAAAAACAATTTTACCACATTGAATCACGAGAGTTTTTGGAATCATTCGGTGTCACATTTATTGACATCAATAAATCCACTTTACAATGAATTTAGATGCAGTTTTACCAGCTCAGTAAAGCCTACAATGAGTTCTTGCAATCAAACAATACCCTATCGTTTATCTATTGAACACTTTCGTTATAGAAGCTGTGTTACCATATTTTCTCGGTGGTCAGCCGAAGCAGAAAATCAATATATTTTAAACATAACGCGCACCAGAAGACTCATGTATGTTAAGCTAGATTTTCGAAACAGCGCTATCTATGATTATTATAAACTTTTTCTTCGAATCGATTCGCCTACCGATAAGATTAGGAAATTGAACAAAAATAACATTAAGGTAAACGTTAGATCGTCGAATTATATGAATGTTTATTATGAACGAACCACGGTTTTAAATAATTCAAAACTATCTCAAAATAAATGTTTTCCTGGAAGTCAAGATGTGGAAAGTTGTGTGAATGAGTGCGTAATTAGGGAATGTTTTAATAGATATTCGAGTTTTCCTGTTCGTTCTCTAATCTATTATGCTGATTATAATAATAACACAATATCTACAAAATTATGTTACTTTTTGCGAAATGGCATTGAAAGCGATTGCGAACGTCAATGCAGTGAGGGAATAGCATGTGTGCAATATTTTCATAAAATTCGTTACAGTTCATATACAAGTAGCAATCAACCTGATTACAATTTTGAACTATATATATATTTACCAACTGAGCACGAAATGGTTTATGAAATATTACTAAAAATGTCTTTCGAAGAGTACGTAGTGCTCGTCGGGTCCTTATTTGGTTTATGGTTTGGTTTATCCGTTTCTATATTTGCCAATGTATTCACCAAATTAATTATTAAATTTACAACATTTGTAATTAACAAATGGCAAACAAATAATATAATAAATGTTTCGAATAATATTTATCAACAAATTTTATTTAAAATTAGTAATGTGAAAGCTAATATACGTTCTACTCGACGATTATTTATAAACCGAGTTTCAACACATGTCTCAGGGAGCCGTCGCAATTCCACTTAACGCAAAAATAGCGTTGAAAATTTAGAATTTTGCTAATAATAAAACATAATTTTATAATTTCCTTTAATCTCAATCATAATTCTTTTATTCAAAGTTAACACTGTTGCTAATATAACGTTAATAAACTAAAGTTTAATATAAATTATCAACATATTGCAACATTATATTGCAGTAAATACATGTAGAATTATATTCCGTTGATACAATGATAAGTCTGGTGTACAAATGGAATAATGATCACCATTATCCCGTTCCTCTCTCTCTCACACACACACACACTCACTCTCTCAGGTAATGCCCTTATATTAAAACACATTTTCATTAATTTATATGTATGAAATTAATAAATTTTTCAATTAAGCCGTACGACAACACATTAATACCTTTTAGGGCAAATGTGTGACACTTTCTGGTGAGCGAATACTTTCATAACTATCACCACTCGTTTCCACAGTATTTATATACTTATTATAAATTAAAATTATTGGAAATATATAATACTCAAAGCAAATCTAGATATACTTCACGTAGTTAATCAATAGTTCATGTTTTACATATTGAAATATAATATAATAATTTAAGAATTGTATTTGTAAAATCTGTTAGTATTTAACACAATTGTTCATATTAAACACTATTAACTCAAACAAACTTTTATTTAATTAAATAAACTCGCATAAAAATAGCAATTAATTAAGGTAACATTAAAATATACGTTACTTATATAAAATTTAGTACTAGTATAGTATATGAAATAATTAAAAACGCAATATTATTAATGGCAATACATTTTAACTTATGCCCTTTTAAAACTATTTTAATTGATTAAATAATCTCGTAATGAATATATTGAAATTAAAAGTAACATTTATTAAAACACCAGATGTGTAGAAAATAGTCACCATTTTTAAGTTAAATTGAAAAGCAAACTCAACAGCAACATGAATAAGGTGACAATAATTTTGACCATAATGGTGGTGGTGGCGTTGTTGCCTGGTCATTTTATGGATGAGACGTGGAATCGAGTTGAAAAAGACGGGAATCATGAAAAAGAATGTGATAATTGCGATCGAGAACAAATTTGCGCTAAAATGAGATCCAAAAACAATGTACGCTATGAATGCAAAGATGACTAACTATAACTATCCGAACACACCATGGTACAAATTGATCGAGCTAATAGAGTAATTATTTTAAACTTAATGAAAAACTTATGTTTTGTTTAATTTATTATCTATTATTTGTATTTAATTTGAATCATTGATATTAACAAGTAAACAATTTTTAAATTAAAATAAAACTGATTTATCATTACATTTTGTGAGATCAATACTCTGACATAAGGGTGTTTGATATTTTTCAACATTGTCTGGATTTTCTACCGCAAACACCCCGATGTTATCGCTAAGAGCAAGACCGTCGATGTATCTAACCTACTCGCCGACCCAGTGGTCAGTTTCCAACACAAGCATTACTTTGTGTTAGGGTTATTCATATGGGGTTTAGGGCCGGCGTATGTGACCTATTGGTTGTGGTCGGAGTCGTTGTGGTGCTCCTGGTTTGTGGCAGTTATGCTCCGCTATGTTATATCACTTCACACCAGTTTCCTCATTAACAGCGCCGCACATATGTATGGCATGAAGGTATTTATGCATGTTAACTAGTTATTCTTATTTATATTTT